ATTTGCAATGTTCTTTATAATTTTTTCATTGTGCTCCAAAGATTCATATCTCTGTTTTGTGGGTGGATGGACACCGGTGATTAGCTGCAATTTGCTCAGGTCACAAGAGAGATCACTCATTTATAACAAGTTCGACCCAGATAATGAAGCTCATAAATACCAATACAAATTTATCACTAAACAGATTAATGTTATATTGTTCATTAATGGTTTGCTAGATGCCACCATATTCAAATCTGGGTGATGTACAGTACTTGTTCATTTACTTAAATTAATTCACCAAGCATTGTACAGTGCAATTTTGAATAATAATAAACCTTACATTTGATAGAGCTCTTCACATCAGGAGTACGTCTCAAAGTGCTTCACAGGATACAATGTAATGTGTAGTGATAGTATTTTGCGATTGAAAGGATGTGAAGAGGGTTGTATCTGCATCAATGAATATCTCAACAGCTGCCATGTTTGCAGGCTGGATGAATACGTGGGATAAGTGAAGTGACAGGTAGGTAAAAAATTCAAGGGATGAAATAGATCTTCAAGAGACAGTTTAAGATGACAGAGGCTTTGTTACTCTGGAGTTGGAGGAGTCGTTCTCAAAAGGTAAATAGATATCTACACCCTGATTCTGCCTTTATACTATTTGTGCAGCAATGCAAAAGCAGCATTTAACCACAACTAATTCAATAATTATAATAATAATAATTAACAGCTATTATATTAGTTCAAGTGGCTATTGGGGAATGGATTACGAGAATCATTCAAGACAAAACCAAATTGGCACCTGAGAATACGATGCAATACGGGTAAAAAAAAATGTGGTCACTCAATCTACGGCTGTTTGTGGAACACTGCTGAGTGCCATTGGCTGCCACGTTTCTCCCACAAAATATACAGTCAATTCACTTTACAGTATATTATGTGATGACTGACAGACAGGAGGTCAAGCATCACAGAAAGGAAATTGTGACCCTTAAATTCAATCGACTTTTTAGATGCATCACCCAGAAACAAAAAAAGATTTGAACGAAAAGTTTCACTGCTCTATGGTTCTTTAAGAGTCCTGTTAATGTCGATGGCTATAATTGTGGGGAATATACCTTTACGTACTGTCCATTTAGAAAGGCAATAGCTAGTTAAAATGGCCTCAGTACTTACACCTTCACCGCAAAATTATTCAATTTAAAATAAAAAAGCGCTTTCCAACAACAATATTTTGAAGCAGGCATGACTAACTTGTGGCCCACAGACTGCGTGCGTCAGTTGACCATCCCTGTTTTTAAGCGTGTTCTGGTTAGGCTTGAGGATTTCATAGACCGGCACCTGGACTATGTAAAACAAATATGAATGCTGACACTTAAATTGAGCGCCTTGAAATATGCATGAAGTGCTTGATTTGTAATATTAATTGGGTCAATTTACAACCACCTACCTTTCTATTACATAACACAATAATGAACGACAAGGTCAACCCTTTTTGTACGATGTTGTGAGCAGAAAGTTAATTCAAGAACATGATAAATTGTGGACACAGCAGTGTCAGTTTAATGATCGTTCCTTCAGTGGAGCAGTACTTCCTTAGCCAGCAGCTGGTTGTCCACTAACAGCATTAACTGTAGGTTTTGGCTTTGTACATTCACTTGTAACCGAAGGAACTGACTGCCGTCAGCATACTTTCCTCCACCCATCATCAGCGGGCGACATTTTATCCCCGTTCTCTGGAACTCCATCTTGGAGTCTCTCCAACCCTCCCTCTTTCAAAGCCAGTATCAATCAAGCCTAAGCACTTTTGAACATGCATTTAGTCCTCTTTTCCCTCTCCGCCCTTTTCAGCTCCCGCCCCTCGGCTCAGATGCCTAGCCAGCTGTGTAAAGCGCATTGAGAAGTCTGCCTGATGTGAAAAGAAGTAATCTAAATGTAAATTGTATTGTATTGAATTTGGCCATTGTGCTGATATGCTACAGTTGTAACTGCATCCCAGGAGGCAGATTTCTTTTTACTCCAACCATTTCTGTTGGTTTTGACTGGTTAGCATCGAGACAAGCTACAAGACACTAACTTGACATTTTAGTTGGCTGCTCACCTATTTACTTTTACATAACTTGTTGTCATCATTGGCGTGAGCCAGAACCACCTGTCACAAAAAGAGCAAATTGTTGTAAAGATTACAATGATTTGATTTTGAAACATGACGAGCAGTAAATAAGTAAAGGAAATCCAGCACTGTGGGTTTGTACACACACAAGTGACAGGCCTATAATTAGTTCAAATATTGCAGAGTGCAATCAAGACATTTGTTGTTCAGTAATAAAAGTGCCACAGGCAAACTCCATTCAGATTCTACCAGTTAAAAAGGACTTCAATTACAGTATTAACCACAGGTCCACTAAACTCTGAGCCTCTTTTAAACAAATCATTTTATATTGGAGATTGCTCAGACATAACATCTTGAAAACAAAATGGATAATGACAAGTCTCTTACCATTGCCTTGACCATCGCCTGACAGCCCAAAGCAGACATGCTTAAGACTTAAAGACTTAAGCAGCCCTATGTTTCCCAGTCAATCGTAAAACAATCTTTATAGCGTTTTCATATTTCAAATTGTTTTGCTTTCAAAGTTTTACCTGGAAACAAATCTTTTCTTAGCCATCTTCTCATCAGTCACATTTCTCCTGTATTTTGCATCAAGCAAGCAACTGAGCAGCAAGCAATAGATGCAGTGATGCTGTGTTTCTACAAATTTTATACAATACATGAAATCTGTATCATGTCACAAATGTGGATGATTGAGTCAATAAGATTAGCAAGGCATCGCCAGTCCACTTTGGCTTATTTGATTTTAGGGAAACATTATTTTAGAGCACAAAGAACTATCACATTGACGTACGTTATCTGAAAATAGATTGTACAAAAAATCACATTTGCATGCTTTACCTCCGACTCCAATGAAGTTGCACTAAATTGCGCAGTGCAGAAGAGCTTGTTTTACCATTTCAGCGATATAATGCAAATGCAGGTGATGGCATTGGATCTCGAGGCATTGATTACCACATCCAGAGACTGTTTCCTTCCTAACACTGAATCCAACAAGGTCAGACACACCTGGATCTGTCATATGTTGATTCTTAAGCAATGATCTTTATATTAGATGTTAATAATGTAATTTCCCATTAGAAAGGGATTTCCCATTATAAAGTTGCAACATAAGGAGAGCTATTAACAAAGAAGTAAGACAGAACCTAGTATCAAACTAACAGCCTCCTCCTGCTTTTAGTGCACTCAGCGCTTTGCCAGGCTGTGCAGGCTGGCAATGTAAGTTTTGTACCAATAACCTATGCGGGCCTTCAGTACATAACAGGGAATGTCCACATCAGGAAGTAAAGTTGCAATTAGCAAATTTAGAACAAATGTACATGCGTAACGTCACGCATGAACAGTTGTTGTGGTATTGCCGCCAGTGCTGTTGATTCTGCCCTGTGGTCTTGTAAAACAAAATGTTGTGCAAATCAACAATTCTGACAGCCTCAGGGTAATCTTAGCAGCTCTGCAGTGTGCCAAAATATAACTGCAGCAGTAGTTTTACTGCCACATGTGAAAACATTTTTTCCTTGGCAAAATGTTAATTCTCCGATCAAGAATTGGTACAAGAAACATATGTAACCAATTCAATTACAATGTGTTTAATACCCTAGAAATGGTACTTTGCTCTGGAAAATAAAAGAGCACAAAAGAACATTGTACCAACTGATAAAATAATAGAATTCAGTTCCCTTTGTCATACTGCACTGTGGATCAATCTATCTCATAATGTTTAAACTTATACNTTTTTTAAGTCTATTGTAGTACACCTTGAAATTAAAATGATGAGTTCATGGTGAGCTCATAGGCATCAATTTATTTAAATTCACCCTGAATAGCAGTAATATACTGTACAAAGCTCTATTTTGAAAGAGTTATGGCTCTAAAACAGTCATGAAGGAATAGAACAGAACCGATCCTCACTAGGCCTCTGTGTTCTGATTTTCCAAAGTGCCAACACAATACGATACGAAATTACATTTGTATAGCGTCGTTCACATTGGGAGGATGTCCCAAAGGCACTGAAACAGAATGCTTGTCATCAATCAATTAAGGATGAATATTGTGACACCTGAACAAACCTGAAGTGAACTGAACCTTTGTATATAATGCAAAATGGATGCCCTAGGGGACAAATATTTATCTGTTCACAAAGTCCCAGTTTATCACAGCCTGGTATATATACTGTAGTCTTTTTCAGAGAAACTTACCACTTCCCAACTTGTGAACATTGTCTCTAGGATATTTCGGTATTAAACTGGCTCAAACTAACTGGTTTAAACTTTTTTAACACAATTTTATAAAAAGATAAATGATTTATTTTCATTCGCAGTCACTATGATTTGTTTGCAAATCCACAATTACAACCTTCAACCGCATGCTCAAGCATGGCATCTGAATTGCAACATCTGCTTGCGGATGCATAGTGAGAGAGTTGAACAGAACTGCTGAAATTCAGATTTATTAGGGCAAGACAGAGTTACAGCAGTGACTACCAACGATGTACCAGATGAGCTCTGCTGAGCTGGAAAAGTTGGGCTGATGCTTTATATCACTGCATGCTCTACTAGTCAAAAACAAAATCACCAGGTTTATCAAAATAGACTGTATTCGTTACGAGGCAAATATGAAAAAACACATTACTATTAATAACTTAGAACATTTTAAACATATATTTATCGTGCTAATGAATGTTCAATATGACCTAGCCTGCTCAGCAGAATCCACAATGTGTTGGTTTATGCTTGTTTAAGTTGAGAGTAATTTAAGTTTGAATAGGACCATTAGTTGCAATATGTTATCAAAAGCTACGCATCATTAAAGCAGGATCCACTTATTGCCCTAGGCATTACATATGCCATCAATTTGCAGCACAGATCTCCAACATAATGCATTGTGAGACTGTATTAGAACTACTTACTCATTTCTTTCAAGTTCAATGATCAATTCTTTGCCGTCAGCTTCAATTAGGAACTTGGCCAATGAAGGGTGGCTCTATAGCAAAAATACAAAAGCATGTAATGTAGTTTTGAAAATGCATGATATAATTATGATATGTACTTATATCGAGCTTTTAGTATTTAAACTAGCACTTATTCACCGAGTCCCACAGTCATTTCTTAGCTATTGCTGGTTTGTGACACAACTGATCAAGGCAGGTCTGCCTACCTAATAACAGTGTATTACATAGATGGAACACATCTTCAAAGGGAGTGCAATGGAGCAGGATACATATCTCCAGTTTAAGCCACACCACTGTTTACATTTCGAAGATACCAGTTTGGAAAAGTTACTCAACCCAGCGATCATGATGGTGGTTTCCCTCGCCCACCGCCCAAGTCTTTCATCCTGGTTTAGACTCTCTGCTCCCAGAATCTTAATAACAGAATAGACACTGTACCACCTTTAGATTTTAATTCGCAGCACTGGTTGTATAAACAAAGTTTAGATTTATTTCTAGGCAAGCCAAAATAGCATGATCAGGGGTGGAACAACCACAGGGTGGAGTAGAGGAAACAGAGCCAGTGGCCTCTTGAAGTGGAGCTATGAGGGAGCGCAACTTCTAGTATTGCAGCAACATATGCTGCATTTACTTTGCCTGGCTGTAGAAGTGACACTTCACCATGGAGTGCTCACCACTCCACGACCTCAGCGGTTCCTGGAAGAAAACTGGAGCACAATAAGGTTATTCATCCCAGGTACATAATAAATAATGCTCACACTTGATGCAGCACATTATCATACTGTATACCTCAAAACCCTTTAAATTACACTCAAAATGTAATGGCTGTTGCTATGTTGTCAAATGCACAAGGTATTCTGTACCAGTAATGTATATTCTGCCATACTCTATTAGAATGCAATGGATAAAACTGTCGCTGATACAATTACCGTGTGAGAGATTAGCTGCATATATAATACCTGTTCCACCTTTTTGTTCGATCAGGCCTGGAGTGAATTACACACATTATTGATGGTTTGTGGTTGTTACCATAAGTGTAATTGATCAATCTAATCTGGCTCTGCCCTTTCTGGGTGACCAAAACTGATCCTGAGATTCTCTGCAATTCATATCTGTCCTCAAGTTAGTTGTGGGGGTACAAAGACTATTTGCCCTTCTTCTCCTAGAATATCTAGGGAGGGGGAGTTTGACAGACGGATATTGGACACACATGGAAACCCATCATTATCAGTATCCAAACCAGAGGTCCATGTACGCATGGAAATTTCCCTGCATCTGGAATGGAATGCACACTCTCTCCCAGAGAGCCTGCTTATCTAATTCCAAAGTTTGAGATGCAGGTTGGTAAGAATTAAGGCTTGGGGACTTCAGAGAGTGTATTTGTGATACTGCTTGAGTTTAACCAGCTAAACCTGGATAGCTTGCCATTGCAATGACTGTCTAGCAACCTTCTCACTGCTTGTGAGGCCGGGCCTTCAGCCTCTCAGCCCCTAGGCTCTGGAACTCCATCCCCCAGTGCCTTCGCCTTGCTTCCTCCCTTTCCTCCTTCAAGGCCGGTCTCAAGACCTTTCTCTTTGACCGTGCCTTCAGCTCCCCTCCTCGCTCCCTCCCTTCGCTCCCCTCACCCTGACCATTTCGCCCCTGCTCAGGTCCTAACCCAACTGTCCAGCGCCTTGGGACGTCCTCCCGACGTGAAAGGCACTCTATAAATGAAATCTTGTTGTTGTTGTTGTTGTTCAGCTAGACCCACACTACCCATTAGGACTTTGGCTTTCAAGATTATCACTTGTCAAGTGGGAAGAATCCCTACCCCCAATTCCAAATCCTGCCTAGGATGAGCTAGGCCATTAAGTCGATTATCAACAGTGCCTTGGAGTACTATGGACATACCTGCCTCAGGCGCTGGACTGCTCCAGAGAATCAACTCAATTTCAATATTCAATTGCTAGTTACATGCCCACGGAGGTAGCTCAGTCCCAAGGAGACACTGCTTATCTCCACCAAACAGGACAATCACCAGTTGGACATTAAACATCTGGCAAGAACAGGTCTGGGCTCTATTAGGTGGACAGCAGGTACTGGGAACTCCTTGTGAGACACTTGGTAAGCAGCACGACTCAACATGAAATGTGTGAGAGTATTGCTACCAGCCTGCCCACAGCTCAGACGCTCACCCTAGCTATTGAGTGGTGGGTCTATCAGCTGGAAATGAGGAGCCTGAGCAGTAGCTGCTTACGTCTTTGGATAACAATCAAGATTGCTACCTATCCCTGGATATATGAGAGTTTGTTCACAAACCTGAACTCCTGCTGACAGAACCATGACATGAGCGGAGCTTCCTGCACATAGTTCAAAGTAAGTGACATCAAGGTGATGTGATGACCTTGAAGTCAGAGATTTTTTAGCACAGGAAGCCTGATGGTCAGCGTCGGAAACCAGGTGTACCGTACTTCCGGCACATCAATAGCTCTGCAAGTGATCCAGAGCATGTTCTAATGTGGGGTCTGTCGTGTAGCTACTGCTAATAGACACATTTATAATGCAGGCCCTGATCTATGGGCTGTTTCCTCTTCCCCCACACGCACTCAAAGATAGCACGAGTCTGCTGGAAGATCACCAACTGGGTGAAAAATCTCTTTTGTATTGCTCAAAATGTGATGATTATTCAGCACAATGACAAATGCAGCTGGGTTCTTCCTCAAATGCACAAATATACAAAAGCTAAGAGAATAAATGATGCCCGAATGTTTAGTGCTGTAAATGTGGCATTCATGTAAATATAAGAGGCATAGAAAGTGCAATCACTTGATTATATCCATATTTGCAGAAACTATCATGATTGTAATGTTTTCATGAGGTAATATCCTTATATATTTGAACTGATCCTATTATCTATTGTGTTTATTTTTACAGATCAAAATCTACGCTTCAGAGATAATTTCAATAAATAAAATCCAGTATTAATAAAATCTGTACAATAGTTTATAAACCCAAATCTAAGCTTCCACTTATTGTTTGAACATTAACTAGTAAAGCAAAATGTATCTGGCTACGTACAACCTATGGTTGTTTGAAGAGTAAACCACAAAATCGTGTGGTTTGGCTTATGATTTGGTATCTGATGGTAATACCATTTGCACGTTCTGAAGCCGGTACTATGAAAAGCTACTGAAATCGGCAAGGCTCACTGATTAAGATTTCTTCAAAGAAGAGAGTTTCCTCTGGTTACATCTGCTGGACTGTCTGCTGATTGTTTTACTTTCTTCTTGGTAGTTGCAGTGTTTTTCCCAGACAAAAATGTCATTGTATCTACTAATGGAGTTGAAATGTCCAAAAATCCTGAAGCTATTTTGATTTCTATCTGCACTTTATGCTGTTTTTCAAAAAAAAATCGCACAGGCAAATCTAGCCTGTAATATGAAGACCGATAGTGTGAAATGTTTACATTTAATTTGTAATAACGCAAAGTGCTATTTGTTTGGATATTGTGTTAGTAAAGGGGTACTACTATAAACAAAGTAAGAATTCACCCTGATGTATTTTTTAAACCTCTCGCTTTGAAAAGAACACAGAATTAGTAATCCATCAGAGTGAAACACTCAACGTGAAATATTGTCTTGCTGAAACTTGCACACAATATCGTTTCTACAAGCCATTATTATTACCCATTCTGACAGAGCCAGAACTTTGGCATTACTATGAATCATTTCGTAAAACCGTGTCCCTGCATCGAGCGTGTTCTGAAGAAGGAAAATCTATCTATCTATTTGAGTATCTGGTCTTCTTTGTTCTTCCCACTTCCTCTTCTGATGCTCCGAGGAACATTAGCTTTATTTATAGAATGGGTTAATTGGCTCAAGGAGTCATAAAGGTGGTTTATAGCCCTTCCCCATCTTATTAAGGTTTCAAATAATACAGGACAAAAGGGTCTGCTTCACTGCAGTTTTTGCAACAATTGAATGCAAACCAGGAAGCAGAACTGTACAGTTTACTCAGATCGATCCTGTTTAAAAACTGCATGGAGCCACTTCAATGTGCGTAGATTCACCCTGGTTGGAGAATAACTGCACCGAGCACGATGCAAACCTTCTGATCTTTAAAAAACAAAGCTCCTCAGGAGGCCTGGAGCTGGAGTGCCCTTCAATGCTCACTGAAAACAATTTTTTAAAACAAGAGTTTCCCCTGGACTGGCTAAGCTGCCCTTTCACTTTATTCTTAGTAAAGAATTGACTGTCCCACCTACTGGGAACACTGAATATGTGTACTTTAGGACGGGTGCAATGTGCAGCCAACAGTGCACCTGAACTATGACAGCTCGCACCGATTTATTGCAAGTGATGGTTTGACACTGCCATTTACAAAGTACCAAACTGGCAGGAGAGCAGTTGGTTGGGAATATACTGCCAAAGTTTACTAGGAACACGAACCGGAACCAATATGAAAGAGGTGGGTGAGTGAGTGGGTTTCTTGTAAACCAGTGGGTTTGAAAATATCATTTGGTTTGTTGACAGTGACTTCTTCTATTGCTGGATGTCAAAATGTGTGCTGCTGTGAATTGGATGTATCAGAAATAGTATGTAGCTTACTCACAAGTGTAATAGTTAGAAAAACACGCTATTGAACGACATAAGACTGATGTTTGTTGTAAAACATTGCTTTACTTGTTGTTTTCAATACAACTATCTCTTTAAAAGGAACAAATAAAATATAAACTAGGAGACAAGCAAATTAAACCTGGAATAGCTCCCTGACATGGAAGTTAGTGATTGCTTGTACAGTATTAGTTGGTATGGAAGTGACCTGCTTTTGGCTGGGGTCACACCACAATGCTATCAGGTATTCCCTGTGCAATACAGCACCTCCTGGCAGTAAGCCCTGAGTCTAGACCACAATAAAAAAAACTATAAATCGTCTGGTGTGAAAGATTAATGGCAGGGCAGGGGGAAAGTGGTTACCTCTATTATGCTGATGTGAATTTCGATGCATAGCAGTTAGCATGTAGTAAGTCTTATATCAGTGCTTTTGCTCGTCCAACATTTTATAAAACACATTGACATTCATGAAAATGTGAGTGAATTCCTCAAGGCCTAGGTTACCGCTCCCTGTAAATAGTATATAAGGAGCATGATCATTTTAAACTTGTGGACAGTAATGGGGGGGGGGGGGAGAATCTAGTTGTCATACACTAAAGAACATATTGGACTTGAAAGTCGCTGGGATTATAACCATTCAATATAATAATTATCAATAAAGAGAGCTGCCATTCAAATCAACTGTGATCATTTTTATCACGTGATAGCTTTAGGCAAAGAGGATCCCATGGCCTATTAGATATATATCAACCTTACAGAATACCCATGTACCGTCTTCCCATTAAAGCACCAGGCTGTGTTTTAAATGAGTCCAAGGTCCTGGCCTCAACCACCCTTCCTGGCAACCTGCTCCAGATATTAAATTACCCTCTGTCTCTAAAACTCTAAGCCAATGTCCTCTTCTACTACTGTTTTTGGTGGATCTGAAAGTAGCCAGATTGATTGGAGCATCTACTATATCTGGTTTATGACTCAGATGCATAGAGTGATTTTTTCATTAGCCCTACTCCACAACATATTTGGGAGTGTTAATTACCTTTGTGAACATTATCCCAAAAGTAGCGCACAGAGCCATGAAACCCATCCAAATCCATGACAGCAAACACACTGATGTTACTGAGCCAATAGCACTCTCTTGAAAATAATGAAGGAAATAGAATTCCAAGGACGTTAACACAAATCAAAGATATCCCAGATTTTCTTTTTGGTAGACCCTATTCACCATGATCACTATTCAACCGGTTCAATGATATGAATGAGACGTTTTGGTTCACGTGCAGACTTTGAATCCTTCAGATAAAAACTGCCATTCATTATAGTCACAGCTGCATAGAAAAGATCTTCTCAGAATTTCACGCACTGAGTCCATTTTCAATACAGCTTTCATCCCAATGCATTTCTGGGTTGTGTAACTTCCTTGGTAACACTGTTGTGTTTTCACTGATTAATTCATTTAAACAACGGATGCATTTTTTTCCCTGAATGATGGCATCCATACATGTGTGCATGACTGTGTTTCAAGCCAGCAAGTGGGCACTCCACCCCCCTCTTTCCTCAACAGCAGTCCATATAACTGGTCTGACCTCTCCACCTCCAATTAGGCAGAATTGCAGGCTGATGCCAGTAATTAAAACAGCATTGTAAGCATAGTATGTAAGTATGACGATTTCATGAAAGAAAAGGCACTTGTTCACAAACCTCCACACTTGTCTACATACGATAGTCCACATTTGGTTATGACTTTATAATGCAAAACCATGTTGAGGTTTCCCCTGGATTTTAACATAAAGATTTTATCCAGTCCAGCCTTGAGTTACTAATAACAACTGTAAATAGCTAATGCTTTATTTGCTGTTGTGAGAAAATCCATCAGACATTTCTGTACAGCTACTGGTACAGAATACAAGCACTGCATTACAATTTGGTTCACTTTATCACCCGTACATTTATATCCATTAACCTTTGCATAGCAGGCACTGGTATTATTATAGAGGATCAGCACATTGATAAGCTAAGTATTATCCTTCCAAAATATGTTTTTTTTAAAAAAGAATGAGCTGTAGATCAGAACCATGTGTATAATTTCTGAAGTTTGCTGTAAACTTCAACTGCACAAAAATTTGCTGATGTCAGATTTGGCTCCTGCTCCATATTCTCCCCTGTGAAAAATCAGAACATTTCTGCCTAATGGACTGTGTCTGACATTATACATTAATGTATTGACTTTACGGGAATTAATTCAGTGTTATAGATTTTGTTTTGCCAAAAAAATTGTCAATTTTTCTCAACTAAGCACTATTTATTTTTCTTAATATAAAAATTATATGAAAATTTGGGAAAATATTCTATCACTAATAAACAGTATCCTAGATAGATGTTAAATAGTTCCTCGTAACCATTATTTCCTCCAGTGTGTACACTCGATCTCCGGGGCATGCAATGACTCATGCGTAATTGGGAAAAGGCCACTTCTTCACGTGAGAAACAGAATAAAACAATAAAGTTGCTGACCTTTCCATGCAGGTTGCTCAATTGTTTCTGGCGATCTCCATCCAGGAGGTAAGGAACTACTTTCTCATATTGTTGCAGCTGCTTTAGATGCTCCTGTTGGCTAGGCGATGATAATTTACTGGACAAAATATTGCCTGCAAGCACATTATTATTAAAGATCAGGAAATGGACCACTCTTACACACACACACATACACATCATAATGTGGCAAACTGTTTTAATACATTTATATGTCAAGAGTGAGCAAATTAAAGGTTATGCCATGTAGAAGCAGGTAAAGAACGCTCTAGATAAATCGTGCCTCGTGTTTCCTTTCACCCCTTGCGTCCTCCTCTCTTTACCACAGCAAAAGTGAACACATTTAGCTTTCCACTGAAATCATTAGACTTTTCTTAGTCCATGCTATTGCTTCACTGGGGACTAAAAAGCAGCAATTTCTAACAAAAACTCTAAAGGACTAAAATTCTATTGCATAAGTCTATTTTGCCCTCAAATTGAAGGGTTTAAGTGTTCTCCATGATTCTGCATGATCTTAAATTTTAAGGCGAATAGCTATCAAAGGCTAAGAATAGATAAAAATTTGGACCTCAATTTGCAAATTGAGTTCCCAAGAACTGTCACCGAATCCAGCACAAATTCCTTTTTGATGCAGAAATGAGTCACAATCACTGGAATGATCTATTGATTGTTTACAAATCCACCTTATTCAACACCACACCTGCAGAATGAACTACATACTATACTGTAACCCTTTGTACCTTTTGCTGGACAGTAGAGAACCATGAAATCTAGAGGTTTTCACAGCATGTGACATCTTAATTTAGTTCAGTTAAAAGTCTGGTTAATTTTATTGGGTAAATTTTGAAGGATATGTATGAAATTTAGCATTTTCCACATTGTAAACTTGGTACAGTGCCTGATTCAAGTAACCAAGTAAAAAGCTCAGCTCTTGCTGTGGGAAGACAGGCTTCACAGGAACAAGTTCTTGCAATCAAGAAACCTGAATACAGGGTTAACGGGAAAGTTAAGAAACTGAATAGTTGACGTGCCCATGGAGCATTGCCACCCGATACACTTGAACAGTTGCAAGTTGAAGATTGATGGCAGAGATTTACCCTTTAGCATCTACGATCACAGCGATTGACAGGAAGTCAATTTTGTGAGCCCAGTTTTGTCAGTAGCCAGCTGTTACTCACTGCCTGATACTCAAATTCACTTGTCACACTTACTTTATTTAATCCGCTTATTTCGCAAAACAGAAGAATTGCACTGAAACTAGCTGGATCTACAACGCTGGCCACAGTTGGTAGCAGGAATGAAGATCTCAGTAATGTTTTTCACATTGCCTTAGAAACGAGTGACATTTCAAAAGAATAATACAAAGGAATCGGGCATTACTTACCATAGAAGGCTTAACACAATGGTTATGATAGTATTCCAGCAAACAGGATTTGAATAATTCAAGCCACAAACTATTCTTAACATGAGTTCAAGCAGTTCTTATTTATTGGGTGATAAGCATTAGATTATTAGGTAAGATTCCTGGCTGTGGTAGTATCTTCCCTGAGTACTAGACCTCTTTGAAGCACAAAATAGGATTGGTGTTGTGGGAAAGACTAAGGATATCATATGATTGCTGTGCGCAATTGGCCGTCATGTTTTGGCCACAAAATATACAGTCAATTCACTTTACAGTATATTCTGTGTAGCACTTTGAGACGTCTCACAGACGTGATAAAACGCTATTGAAATGCAAGGATTATTATTATTAAACTTTTCCTTGATTTGACACCGTACCCCTGGTAAAATAATAATAATCCTCTGATGTAGCTCCTCATCACATCATTGAGACATCTCAAAGCATTTCACAGGATTTACTGTAATGTTGCGTGAGACTGTGTGTATTTTGTGGGGAAAAGGAGTAGAGATATTTAATAATAATCCTTGCATTTAATATAGTGCCTTATCACACTGTTGAGACGTCTCAAAGCAATAATAATAAAACTAAAAAAGAATATAAAATGAAGAGAAACTTTTGCACTCCTGGGACTAGAATAATGGATTTCTAGGAGGTACTTCACAATTAATGAGTTAGGATTATACAATCCATTGTGATTGTGACATTTCAGCAGTTTAAATCTATTACTTGTAACTGGAGATTGTGTGACTGACATTAACTGCAATACACCTTTTAATTTTACTGAAATGTTAAAATTTCAGATTTTGATTTGTATGTTTGTTGCCAGAGACAGATCAGTGAGTGCACCAGCAGTGGAGCACAAGCAAATGCATGATATGGATTATCTGAATAGTAGAAGCTGCTCATGCAAGGAGATCCTAAGTTATGGACTACTGTTTTTAGTATATATTTATAAACACATTAGAACACTATCTAAATCTTTATTACTATAATCATTCTTGATTCAGGACTTTTTAAAAAAAAAACCACAAGTCGTATTCTTTAATCATGCAATCGAAGAGTCCTAAAACTGCATTGTAAAGTGATCAGTCCAAAGATAAAGAAGAGTTTGGCTCAGACATTATCCACTAATATAGCTTAAGCACAACTAACTAACCAACTGAACAAGTTAAAATATAATCATTTAGAGATCCATCAGGTATAGGATATAATGCTTAATCCAATAAGTGTAAAAAGAATTCCCTTCCAGCACAAACAGACTGAAAAACAATCTTTGGATTGATCCAACCACAGCAGCACTTTGCCTTGGCATTATGATGATTTCTGATATGTAGAGAGTCACACGCTGATCTTTCATGATTGTCTAACGGCTGATAAGCATATCAGATCTATTAATGTTATGAAGTAAAACATAATGCCCTGATATTCCTGCATTATCACATTACTGTATCTTTGCATTATTGCACACACATGAAAAAAACAGTTTCCATCCATTTCTTTCTTTTAAAATTCAAGTTATGGTTCTAGTTAAGGTCAGATTCTCTTTTGTATGCATTATTGCTTCGATGATGTGTAAATAATTAGATCTACAATGGTTATTGTTGTTACCAATTGGGCATGTGTTGAATACCTATTTTTCATAATCAGTTTGCATTGACAAAATGTAAGAATTATTATTATATTGTTAATGCTGTAGATTTGTTTTTAAATTAAAGCAATATCCTTTTATGTAGACCTTGCACTCTGTTGTTTTTGTGACAAAACATGGAGCGATTTTCACAAACTAGGTCGAAGATTGATCTGGCATAATACAGCAGAATTTGCAGTTTTATAGCACCTCATTGTGTCAAGACGCCTCAAAGCACTTTACATGCAACTACTGTCAAGTGTAGTCACTGTATTCCCCCCTGCCTTGCCCACCCCACTATTGGCAGGTGAGCTTTCAGCCTCTCTTTCCCCATCTTCTGGAACTCCATCCAACAGTCCTTCCGCCTTGACCCCTCCCTTGCCTCCTTCAAGACCCATCTGAAGGCCCCACTCTTCAACCGTGCTTTCGGTCACCTTCCTACCCCTACCCTCCCCGCCCTCCGCCCCTCCTGATCCCAACCATCAGCACGGGTGTGGATCCCTGACTGTTCAGCACCTTGGGACGTCCTCCAGACGTGAAAGGCGCTAAACAAATGTAATTTGTTGTTCGTTTCGAGTTCGTAAGCAAACATGGCAGTCATTTTGCACAGTGATGTCCCACATTGTTCTGGAGGATTGTTGGCCAGGACACTGGGAGAAATACCTGTCTCTTTTCGAACAGTATCATGTGATTTTCGACGTCCACCTGAAAAACGTGCGGTAATTCAACAAAACTAGTAGCACTGTAGTGCTAAACAAGTCAAGGGTGAACGTCATTGCCTGTGTCTATGAAACGGAAGGGAAAAGCTATTCATCTGAATTCCTATACACTGTAAGGCTATCTGTGAATGTAGGCAAGTGATTTTTGTTTCTCAGGCTTCATCTGTTCTAGTCCATCGTGGTTTAAAACTAATGATCGTAGCCAGAGTGGGAATAAGCATTTTGTGGAAATTCCTCTCTTCAGTGATATTATAAACTCGAGTGCTACCCGAAGCCTCTGCCCCCAGTTACAATAGCACTGGAATAGAACAACATGATGTCACCAAAGAGGGGACTCCACATAAAATGCCTGTTCACATCTGGGTGGATGTATGGGTCACAGACCATGAGTGACTCATTTCGAAGCTTTAAACACAGAAACAAAGAACAGCTGAGACACTTCCTCTTTAAGGAAAGGCTCAGAAGAACCCCAATTGCAAACAAATTTTACAGTATTTTCTTCCATCGATATAACATGGGATCTTGGGGCTTATTTTACATTGTCATCTAACGATCATTGCGTTCAATATAACATCTTAATCCTGTAGCTCAGAGACCTGGGTTCGATTCCCAGGCAGAGCGAAACGTTTGGCAAGTTTCCTTACTCTACACGCCTCTGTTTACCTAGCAGTAAGTAGGAACCCGGTTGTTAGTCGATTGGCGGATCACTTTTCTTGGGGTAATAATTCCTTAAAAACGAACAAAAAGTGGTCACTCAATCCATGACTGTTTGTGGGACACTGCTGTGCGCAATTGGCTGCTGTGTTTCACCCACAAAGTATAGTCAATTCAATTTACAGTATTTTGTGAAGCGCTTTGAGACGTCTCAAAGAGGTGAGAAGGCACTATATCAAATGCAAGGATTTTTATTATTATTATTAATACATTGCTGAGCCATCTCAAAGCACACCACAGGAATTACTTTAAAATGTAGTAACTGTATTTTTGAAGGCAAACAGGTGTCTGAGCTGGCTAATAAGCTGTCTGATATAAGCATTTCTCTGTTAACATGTGCAATGTCAGGTGTTTTTTGGCTATTCCATATGTCAAGTGCTCTGGGATGCTACCCCACGTGAAGGGCGCTATATAAATGCAAATTGTTGTTGTTGATGTTATTGGATATCAATATGGCTAGGGCTAGTATTTCACAGTAAGGAACGGAAATGGTTAATTTAATCATTCAAACAAGATTTAAATAGATGCTGAGTTTAAGTGTTTGGAAGCTTTGCCATATTAATATCGAACCGGCATTATATTTGAACGTAGGTGACAAAACATGAACATTTTAATAGGTATAGGCTATGGTAATTATTAATATACCTTAATTAG